AAATAAGTGTTATTTTTTCAACTTGACACATGGATTAAGGAATGCAATTAATAGTAAATTTTACAAAAATTAATTTACAAAGTGTCTATTTTTCCCTTCAATTAAATTAGAGGGAGTAATTAAGGGACAATTTTGTTATGAGTAGAATACTAAATAAATAAGAGTAGATTATTAGAAAAGAAAAACTTAAATGGAGTTTTGAATTATAAAAACGACACTTATTTTGAGAAAAAAAATAAAAAATGAAAAAACAACTTATTTTGAAATAGAGAGAACCACTTAAATAAGATAATCTACTAACTAATGTAGTTTGGTCTGTATTTTATTTTCTATAAAAATAAGCAGAGTATTTGTAAAAGTTCTTATCTGTATATCAACCCTTAGTAATTTAATTATTCATGTCCATCCAAATCTACATAAATAAAATTCACCTTTTACTATCATTAGGTCATTGGATAAGTAAAGTAGATTGTATTTTAATTTCACCTATTAGGTTAAAAATTTGAGGCTTAGAATTATCTTCATTAGAAAGATTGAGAGACCTGTTTAATTTTAACTTTAATATATATATATATAATTAGAAAATTTACATAAAATGATGTCCTTATAATTTTAATTAGTTATTTAATATTATTAATTTGTTATAGAATTAATAAATATTTTATATTTAACTATTTACTTTTATATATTAAATTAATCCTATGGATAATTAATCTTAAACTTAAACCCATTTATATCCAAATGTTAAATCTTATCATAAGATATTTTAGAGAATCACAAAATTTTTTACCATTCTTGGGCTGAAAGGAGATAAAATAATTATTGATTTGTATTTGATTGATCATGAGTTGAAACATAATTAGAGCCATGTCACTAAAAATCATATAGAAATAGATCTTAATTTTTTCAATTTCAGTGATGATATTGGAATGATTTTTTAAATCAAAATATATTGTCTCAACTTAAACTCACATATCATTTGTTCATGTAAAAATTTATCTCAGTATATATATCCAGCTTCACATAAATTCAATCACTCAGATTCTTAATGGCTCTGTTACACTCCAACTCCTAGTTCGATATTGATTATTGTCAAGTGCATCAAATTTCACTTACATAACAAATCTTCTTTTTGAGTTTTACACATCACTATTGCAAAATAATTCAAATGGGGTAGTTCAGTAGCAAAGAGCACTTACGGAGTTGATCACCATGGCTTAGGTAATGGGTTTGATCTTCTGCAACGCAAACTCTTTCTGGATCAGTCCTTTTGCCTCCAAAAGTGAGCGGAGAGGACCAGACACGGGCGAATTTCCGTGTGAATTGGATAGCTAATAGATCCTTCTTCTAGTATTCATCCTTTGATAATTTAGGATATGAATTAGTTCTTGTTCTTTTCTCTCTTATTTACCAAAAAAATTGCTAGTGAAAAAAAGAAAACTAATAACATAAAATAGCGACAAACATTTCATAACAAAAGGGGGAAAAAAACACCTAAAATTTTACTATTAAGGTTTCGGATTTCACTTTAAACCCTTGAAATTGACCTAAATCAATATTTACTCCCAAGTTTTTAACATTATTAGATAAAAATAATAGTAAAAGAAAGTGTAAGTGTGCGGCTACGTAGTTAGAGATAGAGTAAAAACAGATAGCCTTACAGAAACCCTAATCGTGACTTGTGCCCTGAACCTGATATATATATATATATATATTCCAAAAACCCTAATTTATATATTTCTCTCTCTAATTAGACTGTGTTTGTAGATAATCTTTAGCCCTACTCCCAAAACAAACCCACTAACCTTTTCTTGGTCCTCGTTAACCAAAAATCAGCCTTACCTCACTTAATTTCACCACACCACAGTAAAAAAAAAAAAATTTTAAATAAAGAATAGAAATATTTTTAGCTCTAAACAAATAGATTCTCCAATTAAGTTTCCTCTATATCTACGCTACCCTTAAATCTTAGCCCTTTAAAATAGCAGAAGTCACGTTTAAGAGCATATAGTTTATGCAATATTACAAAAATAATTTATGGAAAAAGACATTGAAATGGGTTTGCTTACTCTAAACCCTTTTGCCTTTCACAATCTCCTAAGCTGCCTTACTCCTATTATCATCAAAGTCTTTCAATTCCCAATACACACAACACTCCAATTTTATTTTATTTTTTAGGTTTGAAATGAACATTGTCTTTCAAAGCCTTGATGGCCTATATGGTAAATATTCACTACTCACGTGTATTATTCTTTTTTTTACCATATTATTCCATATATGGTTATTTTGCATATTATTACAAAAGGAAAAAAACTTGTCAAACCCTAGCAATTACACCCAAGTCAATAGTTTGTCCCTATATTATTGACAAGGAAACCCAAATAAAGGATTATTGCAATAAGTATGCTATTGTTTGTTGCTTGATTCACCTGAAAATGGCTCTCTAATGTTGCATAATTATTATATAGTCTTTTGGTTGCGTTCAATTTTATAATTATTGAATTTTTTTTATTCTGTTTCTAATAAATTTGATAGTTTTTGACTTTTTTTTTTCATTTAGATAATATTTTTAAAAAATCAAAGTAGCAATAATTATTTTATTTCAAATTTATCCTTATTTAGATATTTGCATGAACTTTGTTTCAATTAAATGAACATTAATTAAAGGGTAACTTAGTCAATTACCTTTTTTTTTATATAGATTTGAAGTGATTCAATTATATTTTTTAGTTCTTGTTAAATTTAGGAGAACGAACGGAGTATATTTTTATAAAAAGAGACTTTTAAATAAATTTTATTCTATAATTTTCTAATATTGTGTTATTAATTTATTATTATACAATCTTTTCAACTATTTCAAAATTTATTACTTGCTATCCTTATGTAATTGTTAGGTTGGATTGGATAGGTAAAAACTTCAGAATATTAGAAATAATATTTTTGAATATATGAAGATAATGCGGAAAAATATATGTACTCTTGAAATTATTAAGAAATAAAATATTTAGTGTTAAGTGGCATAAGAAAAATGAATTATAAATGTTAAAAAAATAAAATAAAATTTTAAAATTTAAATTTTAAAGTGTTATTAAAATATATTAGTGGACATGTTTGTCATACAAGCCAAACCTATAAAGTCAAGTTTGGTACAAGGATTAATGTGTATGTGTGTGTGTTATTTTTTATTATATTCAGCTTTATGAGATGCTAAATACTAAGTACCATCTCACTGAGAAAAAGTACTTTGATTAGGTTAGATTGTGTCAATGAAGATGTATAATCTCTTATTTAAGCTCATAATTTCCAATAATTTTACATTGTGTCAGATAATAATATTTTTAATTTATAAATTATAAAATAGTTGGACACGTGAAACTTCAAATTTTGTCTAATGTATTATTAAACAAAAAAAAAATGATAAAAAGTAGAAATTTTTGTAATTTATTTATTTATTTATTTTTTTTTTTGGAAAACAGAAATTTGTAAGAGTTATTGATGATAGATGAGATGAACTGTTGCTTGGGTGATTTTACTAATGTTTGATGGACTAAGAATGTATATTTTATATTGTCTTTCATTATAATGTTCTTTTCCAAAATTTGAAAAGTACTTCCTCTTTTGAATAAAAATAATTTACTCGTCATTCGATTATTAAATTATTAAAAATATTTCCGATTGATTTGTTTTTCAAATGACGTCAAATACAAGAAAAAAAGCATGAACATATGTTTTTTAGAACAATTTTTTTTTTCTTTGTAGAACAAACAAAGCTTAGATGTCAATATGGTAAGACGTAGAATGATACTCCCTCGATCCTATTTTATTTATTTGTTATTTATTTTTTAAATGTTTCGAAATATTTGCAAGAATTTTAAATTAATACATTTAAATATCCATAATAATCTTTATGATTATTCATTAAATACATAATTTTTATTAATATTTTAATGAGTTACTGCTAAAAATAGATAAAATAATTTTTATTGATTAAATTCTTAATATCCATATTTTATCAAATCATGTAAACAACATGGGACAAAGTGAGTATTTAATTAAAGTGAGTTATTTAATCCTTATAATTTGATAATATTTATATCTAATCATGATATTTCATTAATTACAATTTTTAACCAAAAATTTAGTAACAACTCTTTAATTAAATGGTAATAAAAGGATTATTTTAAAAATTAAAATCTTTAACTTATAAATTTTTCAAAATTACTGGAATCAACTATTTATTAAGAAAAAAAACACAAGCGTTTTTACGTTTTAGTACAAAAAGCATGATAGTACATTTGCTAATAGCAATATCATATTTAGCCATGTCATGTCAGGGTCGCTGTGTGGCCAAATGGCAACCCGCCAGACTTTTAGACTTTCCCGATTATGGGCACGTCTATTTCTGAAAATTCCATACTGCCCCCAATTCGCAACAAAATGCTTCACTAGAATTCTAACATTTATTTATAAGTTTAAATAAAAAAGATTAATTTATTTAAATTATACTTTAATATTAATTATTAAATTTTTATTAATTAAGTAAATTTAATCTGATTTCATCTCCACTATTCAAATATATCTATTAAAATAGAATTTGCTTAAGAATAATAATAAAACTCAATCCATTTTGAGTTTGGGTAGCACTCACTTGTATTTTATTTCATTTCTATACATAAATCCAGTCATGGGTCGGTTTTGGACTAGCGTTGATTTAGAATCATCAGGATTTTAAATCAGTCTTCGTTTCAATATTTCAAATTGAAATTGATAAAAAATTATGCAACCAGCTGAAATTGATCGAAAAATGATTAGAACGAACCATTTTGGTTAAAAAAATAAAAAGAAAAAGAACTATTAAAAATAAGGATTTGATCCTGAATCCGACCGACAAAAAAAATCAGTTTGAAGCTATTTAAATTCGGACCAAACCGGATTTTATTCTGGGAGAATTAAACCAAAATGCATATGTACATTGCAAGGGCAATATGGACCATTAGAAAAAGAAATGCCTTGCCTATTTTAAAAACGTATCACTAGCGTTTAAAAACATGGAATACTAATATCTAGTAGTTTTCAAAGCCTATTAGTAAGGTGCAACAGCAAGCAGAAGAGAGCTCCAAAACTCGAAGCTCAGCCACCATTCACCACTGACCACTGCAACCACCACCACCACCACCACCACCCACCATTAAAACCGAGAAACCCATTACATAGCCACCATGGTTAAAATGTCAAGTACCGGAGGTTTCACTTGAAAAAGCTTGTCGTTTTATTTATAACATCAATATAACCATCACGGCCACCACCACTACCACTAGCGGAACCACCACAAGTCGCCGCCAGTTTAATTCTGGTAACATTCTTTCGCCGCTAACTTAGGACTGTTTGACTTATTTCAACATATCGTCCACAAAATATTTAATGGGCTTTTAGCTTTTTGTAATTGTTTCACATGCATGGTTTAATTTCAACTCTTTAGTGTAACGCTCAAGCATCCTTTACAGTCACATGGATTTTGTCTCTTAAATTTAACTTTCTTCTCCACCATCGCTGTTTCATCATTGCCAAAGATTTCTTAGTACTAATTCATAGCCCCAGTAATGGAGAACCTATCCCATTGTTACTTCTCATTCTTGATCTTGGTAATATTAACAATGGCAAAAACTCTACCTTTTGTAGTTTCTTTATCTTCTGATGGACAAGCTCTTCTTTCTCTTCTTTCAACAACTGACCCATCTGCAAAAGCATCATCGTCAGTTCTTTCTACATGGGACCCATCAAGCTTAACACCTTGTTCTTGGCAAGGGATTACATGTTCTCCCCAAAATAGAGTAATTTCTCTTTCAATCCCTGACACATTTCTCAATCTCTCTTTAGTTCCTTCACAACTTTCTTCTTTAACTTCTCTGCAACTTCTCAATCTTTCTTCAACAAATATTTCTGGTTCAATTCCTCCTTCTCTTGGCCAACTCACTCACCTTAGGCTGTTGGACCTCTCCTCTAACTCTCTTTCCGGACCTATACCTCAAGAACTTGGCTCTCTCTCTTCACTTCAGTTTCTTTACTTGAACTCCAATAGATTATCTGGTAAAATACCTTCAGAACTGGCAAATCTTACTTATTTACAAGTTTTTTGTCTCCAAGATAATGTTCTTAATGGTTCAATTCCATCCCAATTAGGTTCTTTAATCTCTCTTCAACAATTTAGAGTGGGTGGTAATCCTTATTTGGAAGGGGAGATACCTCCACAATTAGGGCTACTAACAAATCTCACAACATTTGGTGCTGCTGCAACTGGGCTTTCTGGGGTTATACCACCTACATTTGGGAATTTGATAAATTTGCAAACTTTAGCTCTTTATGATACAGAGGTTTTTGGTCCTATACCAGCTGAGCTTGGTCTGTGCATAGAGTTAAGGAACTTATACTTGCATATGAATAAGCTTACTGGCTCTATTCCTCCTCATTTGGGTAAGTTGCAAAAACTTACTAGTTTGCTTTTATGGGGTAATGCACTTTCTGGACCAATCCCACCTGAGATTTCAAATTGTTCATCTCTTGTTGTGTTGGATGCTTCTGCTAATGATCTTTCCGGTGAAATTCCGGGTGATTTAGGAAAGTTAGTGGTCCTTGAGCAGCTTCACTTGTCTGATAATTCGTTAACTGGGTTGATTCCCTGGCAGTTAAGTAATTGCACAAGTTTAACTGCTCTTCAGCTTGATAAGAACCAATTTTCAGGTGCAATTCCATGGCAAGTTGGAAATTTAAAGAATTTGCAGAGTTTCTTCCTGTGGGGTAATTCAGTGTCTGGTACAATACCAGCTTCTTTTGGTAACTGTACCGAATTATATGCTCTTGATCTTTCAAGAAATAAGCTTACCGGGAAAATCCCAGATGAGATTTTCAGTTTGAAGAAATTGAGCAAGCTTTTGCTTCTAGGGAATTCATTATCCGGAGAATTACCACGAAGTGTTGCAAATTGTCAGTCTTTGGTGAGGTTAAGGCTTGGAGAGAATCAGCTTTCAGGACAGATTCCAAAGGAGATAGGGCAGTTAGAGAATTTGGTGTTTCTTGATTTGTATATGAATCATTTCTCTAGTGCTCTTCCAATTGAGATTGCTAACATCACAGTTCTTGAACTCTTGGATGTGCACAACAATCACTTCACTGGAGAAATACCATGTCAGCTAGGGGAGTTGGTGAATTTGGAGCAGCTTGATCTTAGCAGAAATAGCTTCACAGGTGAAATTCCATGGAGTTTTGGAAACTTCAGTTACTTAAACAAGCTAATCCTCAACAACAATATGCTTACAGGGTCAATCCCGAAATCCATTCAAAACTTGCAGAAACTAACATTGCTTGATATAAGCTACAACAGCCTCTCTGGTCCAATTCCACCTGAAATCGGTTACATCACAAGCTTAACCATCAACTTAGACTTGAGCTTCAATGCATTTACTGGAGAACTGCCTGAAACAATGTCACGTTTGACTCAGTTGCAATCAATTGATCTTTCCCATAATTTTCTTTCTGGAAAAATTAAGGTTCTTGGTTCTCTTACTAGCCTCACTTCCCTTAACATCTCCTGCAATAATTTCTCAGGTCCAATTCCTGTAACACCATTCTTTAGAACTGTGTCTTCGAATGAGTACCTTCAAAATCCAAATCTTTGTGAATCAACAGATGGGTCTACTTGTTCATCAAGGCTTGCAAGAAAAAATGGGTTAAGATCAGCCAAAACAGTAGCATTGATTTCTGTCATTCTTGCTTCGGTGACTGTAGCAGTTCTTGCTTGCTGGATTTTACTCACTCGAAATCATAGGTATATGGTGGAGAAATCTTCAGGATCCTTAGCTTCTCCATCAGGAGCTGAAGATTTCTCTTATCCATGGACTTTTATTCCATTTCAAAAACTCAACTTTTCCATTGATAACATATTGGATTGTTTGAGAGATGAAAATGTGATAGGAAAAGGTTGTTCTGGAGTTGTCTACAAGGCTGAGATGCCTAATGGGGAGTTGATTGCTGTCAAAAAGCTATGGAAAACGAAACAAGACGAACCAATAGATTCGTTTGCAGCAGAAATTCAAATTCTTGGACATATTCGACATCGGAATATTGTGAGGCTCTTAGGCTATTGTTCTAATAAAAGTGTCAAGCTCCTTCTCTACAACTATATTCCAAATGGTAATCTGCAACAGCTCTTGCAAGGGAATAGAAATTTGGATTGGGAAACAAGGTATAAAATTGCAGTAGGATCAGCTCAAGGTCTAGCTTATCTTCATCATGACTGTGTGCCTGCAATTCTTCATAGAGATGTTAAGTGCAATAATATACTCCTAGATTCCAAGTTTGAGGCTTACTTAGCAGACTTTGGCTTGGCCAAATTGATGAACTCTCCAAATTATCATCAAGCCATATCAAGAGTAGCTGGATCTTATGGTTACATTGCTCCAGGCAAGTTATTATTTATCTTCATATTCTCTTACGTGCAAATTAATTCTAAGTTGGATTAGTGATTTGTTTTCTGTTGCAGGGATTCAAACAGCTGACAACTATTGATTCTTTTTTGCTTATTAGAAGAGCTGACTTAACTTTTTTTGGAGTCAAACAGCTAACAGCTAACCACTAATAGTTAAACCAAACAACCAATTTTAAGAATGTTAGTTTTATTTATAATAAATTTCTATGTCCATTGCAGAGTATGGATACACTATGAACATAACAGAAAAGAGTGATGTTTACAGCTATGGAGTGGTCCTGCTAGAGATTCTAAGCGGTCGCAGTGCAGTTGAATCCCAAGTTGGAGATGGGCTACACATAGTTGAATGGGTGAAGAAAAAAATGGGAAGTTTTGAACCAGCTGTTTCAATACTAGACACAAAGCTTCAAGGTTTACCAGACCAAATGGTACAAGAAATGCTTCAAACATTAGGGATTGCTATGTTTTGTGTGAATTCTTCTCCAGCAGAGAGACCTACAATGAAAGAAGTGGTGGCATTGTTAATGGAGGTGAAGAGCCCACCAGAAGAATGGGGAAAGACTTCTCAACCTCTAATAAAACAGTCAACAACTCATAGTTGATTTTTTTTTTTTTTTTTTTTTTTTTTTTTTTTTTTTTTTTTTTCCACCAGAAGAATGGGAAGACTTCTCAACCTCTAATAAAACAGTCAAACAACTCACTAGTTCTGATTTTTTTTTTTTTTTTTTTTTTTGTATTTTATTTTATTTTTCTATGGACTTCAATGATTAATTGCTATGTTCTATCCCAAAAAAAAAAGAGTGTGGTGTTGAGAAAAAATGAGGAAGAGGAAAGCTTTGGGTAATGTTAATGTTAGATTAGATGTTGTTCTTGGGATTCTTGTACAGTTGTAGAAACAGCAATTTTGTTGAATTGCTTCATGCTTTGCTTTTTCCCCTCTCATCATTATAATCATTTTCTAATGTTCTTTTCTCTATGCATTTCTTTTCCCCCTAATTTATGCCACTCCAAATTCCTGAATACTAGCCAGCAGTAGTACACTTTGATCTATATCTTTTCTTTCCTTTTCTTTTTTTCCCCCTTTCAATACAATTTGAATTTTATTCTTCACTCAGACATTTTTAAGATTCCTAAGTTTCAGCCTGAATCTGGTAATCTTTGTCACTTCTTTTAACCATTAAACAGAATTACAGGTTTGAAAACTCTTTAAAACTTGTGTTCAATAAGACATTTATATCATATCAATCACAAAGATTTATATAAAAGCATGAGAAATTTAGACTCAAAGCAAATTAAGAGAGATTTTTAGAATCATATGCACATTCTATGATGTCCAAAATGTGGGGACAGATGCTGGATTATCAATGGATTTCAACTCATCCCTCATCCCCAACTGGAAAAAAAAATGGAAAAAAAAAAAAAAAAAAAAAAAAAAATATATATTATATATATTAATTTTATATATATTATATTTAACAAACAAAAGGAGAAAAATCTTTCAACCCATCGGCAGAAGGCAGCTGCCTACAAAACTCAGAAAACAACTCCCCATGCAAATATTGCAAGTGGGGTCTATAGTGCAGGACAAAAGCAGACAGACAGAAACAGGCCATGCTTCCCTCTCCTTCCCCCACATGACTCAACAGGCAATTTATTTGCTCCCTCTGTCCCATTATCCTTCACTTGGTACATACATATGGGACAATATCCCATTTTAAAATGTCACAAGTTCTGGTCAAAAAGAAGATTTAATAAGATAATAATCAGCAACTCATTGCTTCCTTTTCTTTAAAGTTAATAAAATAGCACAGAAAATTTATTATTCAACTTAAAGTGACTACCCTTAACATGGTAGTACCTTGATGAAACATCAATAAAGAAATGTAAAGAGCTATTATTAGTGCAATAAGCTTCTCTTTTTGTTTCTTTGGTGGTCAGAGTTTTAAGTCAATCTTTTACAGTTCCAGGTATCATGCCTTAAAGCCATCCAAAAACAGGAAGAAGAAAAAAGGCAGATCACATTCATCTTGTATTTGTATTTTTGTATTGGAGCCTCCACAATAGGGCAGTGACCCTACAAAGTTGAAAAATATAAGACAGCCCATGCCCAATTTCACTCACCAGTCACCACAGGAGAATCTTAATCTCTGTCCTCCTCTCAAGATCATATTTCATAGTCACAGTTTCAAGAAACATTGTCTTTAAGGTCTCTTTGGTCTATTCCAAGTTTAGACAGGGACTAAAGAGTAAATTCAGCACTATGTTACTGTTTCCGAAAATACTTATAGTATCCTTAATTTTTATTTGAATTCGTTAAAACACTTCAATTTATAAAATGATACCTATTGAAATTACAAAGTCATCCTATCGAATACTTCGACTTATAAAATTAGATCGATTAAATAATTATTGGATAATTAATAAATGTGAAAATTATCATTCTAAAAGTTATATTAACCGCACATCAAGTTAATATTTTATATATAAAAAAAAGATGAAATCCTTAAAAATTGGTGTTGCTAGTATAGAGAATTGTGAAAGGTTACTAAAAATCATAATTTTAACAGCACAATAACTCTATCGCATAAGTTAAGGTGCCATACGAATTTTCCAATGAATTTGTACATTTGGCGTTTACATTTCCGTTCTAAGAGTATTCCAAATTGATATTGAAATCTATTTTTTCACAAGGCATCATTTTAGATGTTGGAAAACAAATTGTTCCACATTGTTATTTGAAATTATTACAATTAGAACATGTAAAATAATGATAATTTGGCCTTCAGTTAATATTTTAAATGTATGATCTCATCAACAATTCAAATAACAACAGAAAAGTTCTAGTTTCACTAAAGAATAATAGTGACAAAACAAAAATATAAAAAAGTACCTAAAATTCAGTCACTAAGCTTGTGAACTCAACCTCCTAGTGGATTTTTCTTCAACTCCACTCAGCTTGTCCCAAAAAGCCTCATCATTCCATTTGCTAATGTTTCAATCACTGCCCTTCTTTTGCTTTCTTTCTTGTTATAATTTCTTTCAGAGGCATTATTTGTCTCTCAACTTTTTCTTTTCCCCAGAAAATATATAATTATCTCTCTGAAATTATAACAGTCTTTGAATTTTATCGTGACAAAAATAAATAGCAGAGTTTATTCAACCGAGACAGAATTACTAAGGCTCCACTTGGGTTTTCTTTTCTTTTTTAAATTTCAATTTTAGAGAAACCAAACACAAATTCTATATTTTCATGTCTGCAAATCATAAATAACTAATACAACTTCCAATTGTACATTTCAAATGCAACAGATATGCATATCAAGTTCAATTAAATATAAAATAGGAGAGTAATCCTGACTAACCAACCAAACCTTTTGCTTAATATGCAAAAGAGCGATGACCAATCGTCTTCTCTTGATCCACTACGATGACCAATAACTTATTAAATAACACAAAAGATAATAAATAGATTTAAAATGTGTTTTCTATATACTTTTCGTGATTGTGTGGCTAGTGCAAACTTTACGCAATCAAGCAAATCAGATAAACATTTATTTAGCAGAACATAAGACACTAAACAAATACTTGAAGACCCACTAAAAGAAAGGTGTTTTATTATTCCTTTCTTTGAATTTAAACAGACTGCCTGGTTTTTTTTTATTTAAAGAACTCACTTTTGTAGAAGCAAACAAAGGGGAAAAAGTAAAAAGCAAAACCAAGTTGAAATCACAGTCATAAGGACAGTTTTTTTTCCAATCAATCCGATCAGTTGTGGTCTTACAAACTAACAGGATGAGTGAATTTATTTGCGCTCAGATGCGTAAAAGATGCTAACTGCACTTAAAAGCTGAATACTATCATTGAGTTAGCCCTCCTCTCCCAGAAATAAAAATACTATATAAAAATTCTATGTATGTAAATATAATTGGAATCAAAATAAATGATGATGAATCAACATCGACAATAACCCTAGTCTTCTTCCAAGCTAGTGATGCACGTTCGATTCCCGCTGTCCGCTTATATCCCTATACTCAGATTGAATCACATGGCACCAAGGCTGTTCAAATCAAAAACCGATGACAACCCTATATGAATATTGTTAAGAGAAAATATTGTAGTTGTATTTTGTTAAGGATTAGTTGTAAATAGAACTCCATTAAGAGTTGTAAATAGAACTCTATTATGAGTTAGATTTCTAATAGATTTACAGTATCTTGTATGTGTATATATATGTATCCCTATTGATGAATCAAATATAAGAAAATTTTTTTCCCCATTAAATTGACATGGTATTAGAGCCTTTGGCTCGTTATTTTTTTTTTCTCTCCGATTTCTGCGTTGATGTTTCTAGCGACCAGCGACAACTCTGTTTCGCGCCTGTCAGTCTAGGTCACCCACCTAGGCCTTTGCTTTTGTCTCACCGCCACCCAAGGGAGGAAGAGTGATCTCCGATCGGCGTCTCCACCAAATCCGGTGACTTGAAGACCGGTGAGTGTGCCTCACGTGCCATCAGAAGAATCGGACGTCATCTCACGCGCCGGCGAGTGGAGGCGCATCCGGCAGTTTCCAGTGACCGGATTTCATCTCCCAGGTTCGACTCGACGTCCAGATTCTTTTCCAATGGTTAGTTTTCGGTTTCGGCAGCATCTGGTAGGCGCTTTCTTTGTTTTTTGCTACTGCTGTTTGCGGCTTTCAGTTTCTTTTGGTGTTGCTACTGTTCTGTTGGGTTCGTACTATTATTTGGTTGCTGTTGGGGTATTTTTTTATTAATGGAAACTACACCCACAGATTCTAAAGCTATTATTACTGAATTGATCCCAGCAATGAATAAAATCACAGAGCATAAATTGAAAGGAACTAATTATTTAGATATTATTAGATTGGAGTAAGAACAGTTAGAATTTATTTTGAGGTGAGTGTTGAAAAAGATGATCATCTAATGGGGATGATTCACCAATTGGTGGTACAATAGACAAAGTGGCTAGAGAAGATGCAAGTTATTTCTCCTGATTCGGCAACTCTATTGACAGTGAAGGTGGTTGGGTTAATTAATCATTGTGAGTTTTGTTAAAAAAAATTTAGTGGATTTATTCTTGAATTCTTTTACTCGGGAAAAGGGTAATCCTGTCTCGTATGTTTGAGGTCTGCAAAGGATTTTTATCGCGACCAGCAAGATAAGCCCCTTACAACTTACTTCATGGAATTTAAGAAGATTTACGAGGAACTTAATGTTTTAATGCCTTTTAGTCCTGATGTTAAGTTTCAACAGACGCAGCGAGAACAAATGGCTGTGATGAGTTTTCTTGCAGGTCTTGCTCCAGTTTTTGAAACTGCCAAATCGTAAGTTCTTTCAGGTAGTGATATTACCTCTCTTCAGGAGACTTTCGCTAGATTACTACGTATTGAAGGTTCTCATATGCCTTCCCCTTTTGATAATAGTGCCCTTGTGAGTCGTAATCAGGTAGCTAGACAGCCAGGACATAGAGGAAGAGGAGGAAATAACCGAAGTAATGGAACAATCACTCGAGAGGCAAGCATTCTTATATGCCATTATTGCCATGAACCTGGTCACACTAAACGGTATTGCAAGAAATTGATCAATAAGCCACCAAGGGTAAATATGGCAATAAGCCACCAAG